TCAATAAAATATAATGACCAAAATATCCTTTAAATCTTTCAGGGGTATTTTGATCATTTATTTTATTGAAAATATTGTTTTTATATTTTTCGCTAGTAGGAGTTTAATAGAGATTGGACGTCCAAAATTTGGTGTCAAAATAGTTTACAGAAAAAAAAAATTAAAAATAAAAATAATGCTGAGTCGTGGAGAATGCATTTCTAGAAATAGACATGCTTTTTAATCAAATAATAATGATGAAGAGATGATAGAATGCACTCTCTTCCAACAATTCATAGGAATCTCAATCTCTTCTATAACGTTATTTTCTTTCATCGTGTTTTGTGCCCAACATACTTGTTCTTTTTCTGAATGTTGTTTTTCCCCCTTACATTTCTATTCGTTGTTTTTCTTTTGGTGCCTATTACGTGGTCTACCCCCTAAAACATAGGTCTTTTTGTCCTTTTCTTTAAAATTAATAACATAGTCATCCTAATGTATAAGAAAAAGGGTGTGGTTTCTATAAGGTCGAGGGTCTAAACCATCAAAGTAAGGCGCGCTTTCAAATAGCGTCGAAAAATGTTGTTTTAATATTGAGAGTCTTTGCGATGGCCGGAAAATTTATTTTTACATCTAATTAAAATTTTAAAGTTTAAAAATTAATGTAGATCAAGCAGATCTAAAAACATTTGAAAATCTTGAAAATTGACGGTCCAAAAATACATTACAAGATTCACTATTTCCAAGACTTGAAATCCATTTTTTTGTAATGTCCGGGCATCTTGAGGTTGAGATGATCAATTCGAGGAAATTTGAGCATTGAAACACCTTCTTCTAATGAATTTTTGAGGTGTACTTAATTAAAAAAAAAATTCTAAGAATTTTTTAGGTGCACTATTTAGAGCTTCGCACTTAAATAAGAATTTTTTTCTAAGAAAAAATACGATTTGGAGCAGAAAAATACATCAATTCCCCCTCTAAAAGAACTCAACCGTTTTAGAGACAATTGATCTAGATTTTATAGAACATGAAGAGTTCTTCTTCTTTTTTTGACATTGTTTACAAAATGAATTTATATGAGATTTTCGAGATGGTCCAAAAAATAAAAATAAAAACCACATATGTGTCTTGGGGCAAAAGGCCACCTAAGGATAGTTGGGAGTAGGCCATAAAATCTTATGGAAAATGACATATAAGCGGTTAAAAGATCTGTATTACAAACGAGTCAACTATAGCTGCTTTCACAATTTTACTCCTCATTCAGGTCTCTTTGAAAAAATTTCTTAAAAATTTTAAGGAGAGAGATGATTGTGGCGGAGAGAGGGCATAGGATTTGTAGGGGAGAGAGATGATTGGGTGAATGAGATTCGTTTTCAGAGAATAAATTTTTTACGGAAAAATATAGAATAAGATCATTTATCTTTTATACAAGCTTGTCACAATTAATCTTGACCTTTGGATGTGAAATTGGGTTGATATATTTATTCCATTGACCAAGCACAAAGTTCAAAAGAATTTCTCTCTAACTTTGTGACATACTCAAGCTATTAAATTTCACATCGGATTGTTATAAGCAATTATGACCTCCTCGTACAATACGTAAATGGTCGTATGTAATTCCATATTTTACATATTTAGTTAAAAGATTGTTTTTCTTCCCCCCAAATGAAGTAAGAAGGAGAATAAATGAAGATTTCTCCCCTCATTTAAAAGCCTAAGATATTATCTTAGATGCCTTATTTTCAGGAAGAATATACTGAAATTCGATTTTGAAGGACCCATGTGGTCCTTAGTTTGTTAATGACAAGCGAAAGCGAAATAGTGGTGGCATATATTTTATCAAAATATTCCTTTTCATTCCTTGTATACATTTTTATTTATTATTTTTCAATAAAATATATTAGAGAAAAATTGACAATAATATAAGGGTGAGGTTTGTACAAAGTTGCCTCCTTATAGTGTAGAATTATATAAGGTTGCGACCTTAAAATGTAGAATTACAAATGCACCTCAAAAATCTATTGAACAAGATTGTTTTAATGTTGAAAAACCCTCTATTTGATCATCTCAACATCGAGATGTATAAATATGAAAGAAAAAATATTTTAAGTCCCAAAAATAGAGCATCTTGCAACACATTATCTAGACCGTCCATTTTCAAGATTTTCATGTGTTTATAGATCTACTTGATTTTAACTATTTTTTGGAGTTTAAAATTTTATAATTAGATATGAAAATAGATTTTGAAATATTCGTAAGAATTTTTTACACCGAAATTATATGGTATAATAAAATTTAAAGGTACACCTTATTTGGATTGTTAAAGGTTGCTACCTTATAGAAACCACACCTATATATATAAAAGACTTCTTGTTAGAAAGATGAATAACATGTTTCCTCATTGCTGCTGTTTCTTGAGGATCCACTCTCAAACTAAGGCAAGACATATATTAAGGGTTTACCCTTTCTAAGGGGCTCTTAAAAGGGGTCTCATAATCATCAAAAACTTGTATACCAAGGGCATGTTTAGATTATAATAATCAGTTTTATCTTGAATCAACTACCTTAGCTGAAATTAACATAACTCAAGACACTATTTTATGAAAGAGGTTTATATAAGGTTGAGGAACTACACAATTAAATTAAGTTGCACCTCAAAAATTCACTATAAGAGGTTGTTTGATGTTGAAGAAACCTCAAATTGATCATCTCAACCTTAAGATGTATAGTCATGAAAAAAAAATTGATTTCGAGTTTAGGAAATAGTGCATCTTGTGTAATGCATTATCTAGGGCCGTCAATTTTAAATATTTTCAAGTATTTATAGATCAAGTCGATCTACACTATTTCTAAAGCTTTAAATTTTATAAATAAATAAGCAAATACCTTTTCAGGCAATCGTAATATTTGTTATTGAAAAATCATATTTCGACACTATTTAGAAGTGCACCTTACTGTGATCGTTTAGGGCCTCAGCCTTATACAAACCACTCCCTTATTTTATTAGCTATTCAGTAGATATATCATATCATAAAGGGTGTGGTTTGTATAGAGCCTAGGCTCTAAACAATCAAATTAGAGCCTACTTTCAAATAGTATCAAGAAATGTGGTTTCAACACTAGAAATCATTGTGATAGTTTTAAAATATGTTTTCCTCGTTATTTATAAAGTTTAAAGCTTCAAAAATAATGTAGATTGCCAGATCTATGAAAACTTGAAAATCTTGAAATTGACGGTCAAAAAATACATTATAAAATACACTATTTCAAAAACTTGAAATCCATTTTTTTCTCATGTCCATGCATCTTGATGTCAAGATGATTAATTTGAGGATATTTGGGCATCAAAACAATCTATTCTAGTGAAATTTTTGATGTATGCTCTAATTTGATTGTTTAGAGCATCGACTCTATATAAACTTTTCCCTCTTATAAATAACATGATTTTATTATTTAACTGTTTGGTGATTGTTTGTTATTATGAGCTAGTTCTGGCAAAAAAACATGTAGTTTCCAACAAATTACCTTAAAGAAAGCTAAACCAACTTTTCAAAAAGATAAACTTACATGTAAAATTGTTTATAAGTTTATCTCAAATAACTTTATAATGTATAGAACCAAACAATATATAATTCATTATCAAGTTTAACTTTATTAAAACAATGAATTATCAATGATAATGAGTATATCCAAGCATGTCCTTGCCTCTAATTTTTCATAGTTTTGTGTTTTTTTAGCCTCGAATATTATTTTTCCCAGGGTTTTAAAAACCATCTATACTGATGATAATTTCATCCTTATTATTAATTTTCTTTGGTAAAAAATATTTGAAAATAAAATATAAAGTTTAAAAATCGATAAAATGGGATATGTAGAGAATAGTTAATCCAAATCGATGATTCAACAGACCAAACTGCTAGTTCTCGAATCTAATCCAAAGAATTGGGGATTCAAATTGTCGGGTTGATCCGTCAGCTTCAGATCCAAAAGTATGGACCCGAGAGTCGGGCCGGTTTGGGTTCTGCGTATTATCCTAGCTTAAATCGAGTTGGGATCAGGCCCTACCACGACTCGTATATTTTCTTATATACAAATAAGTCGTGGGTAGGCAAGGCACGCAAGGGG